AATTGTTGGAAGTGTGGGGAGATAGGTACTTATTATCATGTATGGTGGACCTGTCCTAAGGCAATCGAATTTTGGAGATCTATACAGAGGTGGATATTAGAAATCACGGGATATAAATTACAATTGAAACCTGAATACTATCTATTAAATATTAGGCCAGATAAGATAGGCACGAATATATGGTGTTTGTCTACATATATCACAACCGCAGCAAGAATATGTTTTGCTCAACATTGGAAGGGGAAAGACCTACCGGCTGAAGACCTGATTCTGGGGAAAATTATTGAATATGCGGAAGCTGACAGGTTAACAAAAATTTTGAGAGATCAAAAGGACTCCGTATATTTTCAGTGCTGGGACCAATGGTATACTTGGTTGAATAATAGAATAAAAAAAGGATAAGGTTAGTGTAGATTTTTTTTTATTTATTTGTATATCTTGACTGAAGTTAATATATTCTGTAAAGCTCCCGTCGCGATCTGTGTGTGAATAAATATTTTGTTGTAAAGAAATAAATAAAAATTAAAAGAAAAAGAAAAAGAAAGAGAGTAATAAGTAAATAAAGTAATTTTAAAAAACCCTTCCTCTGAAGAATGGCAGATACACGGATCTGATAGGCACTATCTCCTCCCTACTTTACATTCCCAATCAGTTACCTAATTGTTGAGAAAATATTTTCCTGGTTTAAACTTTGGTAGTGTGGGAAATATTTTTTTCAATGTAAAAGGAGACTAAGTAGTGGCACAGAGCTTTAATTTGCCTTTGGTAATGAATAATACTGTTCTACCAAGTCTTGTCTGTTTTGTGAACTTTAATTTACTCTCTTGATATTTACTTTCTTGCTGTGCCAATTTAGCAATCACTTTTTTCTCTGCCAGTTCTGCTTTGTGGGCATATTATGTTCTTTGGTGAAAGTAACTATTGAAATATTCTAATTTAAATGGAAGAGTTTAGTATGCTGGTTACAAATATTTCAAACAACATAGCTATTTTCTTGACAATGAGATATTTTTATCCAGCAAGGCTAATTACCTTCTTGCCAAAAAAGATGGAATATTCTGTAGCAATTTCTATTATGAACTTTCAGGAATACTGTACCACCCAAAGAGTGCATATCCTTGAATTATGCCAAAAAGCCTAAAACAGTTCATGGGAGGATATGCAAATTCCCACAGATGTAGTGACAGCAGCTGTGAAGCCACAATTTATCCTCTAGATAAATTTAGAATCATTAATATCTTTCTCAACCAGTTCCCACTACAGCAGCCCTTTTTAATCCTTCTTAAAAATCAGAGCCAAGTTTTTGTGCAATCATTTTCACAGCTATTAGAAAGCAAAATACTCTTGCGCTGTTTAACATTTTCTCTGTCAGCATTACCATTGTGTGGAAATTGTATTTCAGTATGAACTTTTCAAGAGTAACACATGCTTTCCCCTCCTCTCTTTAAATCAAAAACATATTAGTAAAATTCAAAGTTGTACAGTAAAAGATTTCTGCCCTTTCCCACTGGAAGAATATTTATATAAATTCAGAAGTTTTCCTCCCTTACTGGAGTTCAGACATTGCTTCATCTTGCCATTTAATCATTTTTATGTCCATCCCTCAGCTTCAGAGAGGAGGCAAGTAGTCAAGTTTATGTTCGCTAAAAATAAACTTGTAGACTGGCTGGATTCTTCCATATGAAAAATGTAAACAACTGTCAACTCTTTGGGAAAAGACATTTTACTCTGTTTGCAACTTCCCCTGGAGAATTAGATGTGGCTCTCCCCCACACACACTTTTTTCATAATTGGGATAGATCCCTTACACTTCTGGGAAATGAGATTTCTGTTTATTTGAGTATTAAAAGGTTCTGATTAGCATTGCACTGAAGATTTTAAGCTAGGGCGTACTCACTGGACTCAGGGCTCAAGCTTGAATGCCTGAAGGCAGCATTCACAATAAATACATAAATGAAATGGCTTGGCATACACTTTTCACCTTTGCATTCACAGATGGGGAATTCTTTTAGGTTATAGCAGTTGTAATATATTTGTTTATACATTTATATGTGTAAGTCAAATATACGCTTTTTCTGAACTTCAGCAACCATATGTTCAGCAGGGTGGAAGCTAATAGTGAATATTAACACCACAGGGGGGAACTGATTACATTGTAAGGTTGTTATTCTTTCTCTTTCACTAATAATTTGGGAAAGATAGCAATAATACTTAGACTTATATACTGCTTTACAGTGCTTTACAGCCCTCTCTAAGCAGTTTACAGAGTCAGCATATTGCGCACAAAAATTTGAGTCCTCATTTTACCCACCTCAGAAGGATGGAAGGCTGAATCAACCTTGAGCCTAGTAAGATACCCGGAACTTTTAGACGAATTTGGAAACTTAAAATCAGAGCAGGATTTAAGAAATCAGGGGATAAAAATTGATTGGTGGCCATACCTGCAAATTAGAACAAAATACAAAAAAGACCGGGAACAACATGGTATATATACAGAACAATTGGAACTTGACAAGATATTATTAGGAACAGGGGAAAAAATGATTACAAAAATGTATAATTTTTTATTAAAATTCAAAATGGAAGAAGAAAATGTGAAAGAGAAAATGATTATTGGGCGAGAAATTTTGGTCATCATATTCATTTAGATCAATAGGATAAATTGTGGGAGAGAAACTATAAGTTTATGATGTCAACTGCTTATAAGGAGAACCTTTACAAAATGTTTTATCGATGGCACCTGCCACCAGCGAGATTGGCCAAGATGTTCTTGAACAGGTTCCCGGAATGTCAGAGGTGTGGTCATAAACAAGGAACGTTCTACCACATGTGGTGGACCTGCCCTAAAATTAGAAAATACTGGTGTAAGATAAGAAAGTGGCTGGAGAGGATAACAGAACAGAAAATAGAGATGAAGCCAGAACTCTTTCTCTTGGGCATTCTTGAAGGGAAAATGGAGAAAAAAACTTCAATATATAGCAATACACATATTAACTGCAAGTAGAATTGTCCTAGCATAGAATTGGAAACAACCAGTTATTCCTCCAGACCAAATTTTAATTAAAAAATTTATCATTGTGCAGAAATGGACAGACTGTCCATGGAAATGAAAGAGAGGGAGGAAATCGAGTACTATCAAATTTGGAACAGATGGTATTCCTGGCTTGAGAGGAGACAAAAAAAATAAGGGATAATCTGTTAAATATATTATGTAGAAGGTAAAATTGTTGAAAAAATATAGGATAAGAAATTGAATTAAGAATAGAGCTAATTATAATATAAATAAGGATGTAATTTAAGATAGAGATATATAGAATTAGAACTTTTGTAAATATGTTTGTTATGATAGAGATACCGATATAGAAAAGCTGTTATTAGTGGAAAATTTTTGTTATGTTTTTCTATGGTTTTTTTCTTTTTTCCTCTGTGTTGTACTTTTGTACGGTATTTTAAATGTTGAAATTTCAATAAATACTATTTTTTTAAAAAAGCTAATAATGTTATAGGCCAGAGATGGCTAACCTTTTTGCCATTGTGTGCCAAAAGCAGGGGGAGCACGGGGAGGGGGTTGCGCGCATGTGTGCCCACACCCATAATTCAATGCACCCCGCCCCCCACGCATGCACACACGACCCCCCCTGCGCTCCCCCCGCTTTTGGCATGGTGGCCCCAGTAGGCCCGTTTTTCACCCTCCCCAGGCTCCAGAGGCTTTCTTGGAGCCTGGGGAGAATGAAAACGGCCTTCCACCCTCCCCCCTGAGGCCCTCTGGAGGCTGGAAATGGCAATGCAGCCATCTTTCAAACCTGAGAACCGTCTGGTTTAACAGTTGAGTCTTTATATTGATGTATTCATATCTATTCCCAATTTTCTTTCTTTTTTAAATACTTTGTGTTGGTTTATTGTTCTTAATGAATCAACCATAGAAATACAATCTCTATACAAAAGCCTCCAAATCTAGCCTTAGTTTTGGAGAGTTTTCTATATTTTCTATAGTAAATATTGGATATTGAGATAAGTCTTTTATATACCCAGATTCTAAAATGTTTGTATCCCTGCAAGCCTTTTTTCAAATCCAACAAACCTCCCTCCCAACTACATTGCCAAATTTATGTACTACAGCTGCCAAAATTAATTGAGTAGTTTCCAACTATGTAACATTACCAGAATCACAGTACCTCTTACTGAATCAAAAAATTATAAAATGTGGTCCATGACATTAACAGGTTGTCCATCTACATGTATCTAAAACAGCTCACACTTACATTTTTTAAGAAATTACAGTAAATAATTTAAGAAAACTGGTGAGGTGACTAAGTGGAAGCATCCCAGAATGGATGAAGAAAGAAATCATGAACAGAGAAAAGGCTTCTCCCACTTTTATTATACTCCTTAAATTCCAGGAAAGTAAGTCTCTAAATATTAGTTTCTTCCATTCTGCTGGTCGGTTTTGCTTCACCATTGTGGGAAACAGCATACTGCATTAAACAGAGCTTTGATCTGCTCCAGCAGGACTTTTATTCTGGTTTTATATTGTTCATGGAATAGCTATACTCCTGGTAGCTGAATCTTATTAAGAACTGCACAAGGGCGACATATCTCCCAACAGACCCAGTCAGTACAGTCAATTGTAAGAGAGGCGGGAAAATAATAGTTTAGCAATACTTGGTTGGCCATGCATTGTGTATCCAGGCCCTAAACTTAAAGAGTCCTGTGAATCCTTAAAGGTCTCCACTGCATTATGGAATAGGTTCATATGAGAAGACTTTCATGACTTGGAGCAACTCAGCTCTTTTGCTCTAATCAGGCATGTTTATCTGAATATATTTTAATAATTTAATTTTAATGAAAACTTTTACAAATGCCATCTTGGCATTAGCAGTCCTCATGGATACCCTCTTTTTCTTTATGATTGTCAAGACAATTAACAGAAGGCAGATAGCAGGTATAGTAAAATGCCATCTGTGCTAAATGAGGTTGGCTGATCTGGATATGAATAAATATGATTTTCCAAATATTTTATTAAGCATCCACATTTTGAAATACATAAATTGATGTTAAGCATTGAAAAGTGCTGGGGAATTTGGGAGAAGGTGGTGAGTGGGCACAAGGCTCTGCTGCACTGTTTGATAGAAGCTAAAGCTGGCTCTTTGCAAGAATCTCACCTTGTCCTGTAAAACAAAGTAACATAAAATATGGAAGAAAAAACTTGCTGCACTGGAAAATTCTCTCTCTCTCCCTCCCTCCCTCCCCGTGTGTGTGTGTGTGTGTGTGTGTGTGTGTGTGTAATAAATGAAGAATAGAAATGGAAGAGAAATACATCCAGAAGTATCACACTTTCAAAACAACATATCAACAATAATTCATTTGAAATTCATGTTTGTTCAGTATAGATCTCAGTTCTAAAATGCAACATATTAATGAAAACAATATGCAAAAATACCATCTACCGTGAAAATAATTGTGTGTTTTTATATTTATTTATTTGTTCAATTTATATAGCCACTCATCTCACATTCATGACTCTGGATTACTTACAATTAAAATATAAACAGTACCAACCAAGCAAAAAATAAAACAACTATAAAAACAATACACAATGTTTAAACAATTAAAAACCATACAGTACAATCACCAGGAGAGCACAGTTATTCAAGAACACAACAGCCAGAAGGGCCATACTCCTCAACAGACAGCATCTCTAGTGGATGGAACCTCTAAAAGCTTCTTCTACCAGACCTAATTGGATGAGTAAATATCACTGTATGATGTGTTTAAGTGTATATATCAGAGGTGGGTTTCAGCAGGTTCTGACCAGTTCTGGAGAACCGGTAGCGGAAATTTTGAGTAGTTTGGAGAACCGGTAGTAAAAATTCTGACTGGCCCCACCCCCATCTATTCTCTGTTTCCCGAGTCCCAGCTGATTGGGAGGAAATGGAGATTTTACAGTATCCTTCCCCTGGAGTGGGGTGGGAATGGAGATTTTACAGTATCCTCCCCCTGCCACGCCCACCATGCCATGCCCACCAAACCATGCCATGCCCACCAAGCCACACCCACAGAACCGGTAGTAAAAAAAATTGAAACCCACTACTGGTATATATCCATTTGTTTATGAGGCTGTGTGTATGTACAGGTGTGCAGCTTGTTGAGATGCCCTTTCACTTTGATGAAGCTTCAGAAAGAGCAACTAGTTGAAGCTAATCTCCAAAAAAAGCCCCACTTCATTTTTATTGCTTCACCCAGGCAAGGATGGATGGGAAATGGACATAAGTGCTTTGATGTAAAACATTTTTTGTCTTCCTCTCCCTCCTAAACTGATGCAGAAATGGAATGAATCAAACTAAACATAAAGAGACACTATCAACAACTTTCTTTGTTGTTAAACATGCCACTCTTAAATTGTCACTGATTTCTTTTTTAAAAAACTGTGAGGATGTCTGCTGCCAAAATCCTTCTAACAAGCCAAAAACTTTGGCTGGCCAAGTACATCAGAAAAAAAAATAGAGTGAGTGATTCCACTATTCCTGGATGATACTCTTCTTATATTTGGATTAAGCTTTCTCTCAGTATTGTCATTCATGTCATTTCTGAATTACAATAACAATTGAGAACAGAATAAATAGTTTCCTGAACTTATCAATACCACATAATATTTTGCATTTGCCATTATGAGACAATAACACTAGCCACGAAAAAATGTATTTTCATTAGCCAACATCACTGATATTATTATGATGCAAAATTCTAAGAATGATACATACATAAGGATTTGGGGAAATGAATATAACACCCATGCAAAATATTTCTTCTTTTGCATTATTGGAAGATGAATGCATGCCGATTTTACACAGCAAGTGGCCAAAAAAATTATGCCCCAGGAAATCATTGGCTGTGTTGCTTTCTAAAGAATGCAAAAGTCCATTACAGGATTAGCTATTGTATCAGATAATAACTCTACAGTGTACTGGATTTTGTATAGCACATTGAAATACTTGTGGGGGGGGGGAAGGTCTGAAATCAAAGGCAAACTAATTTTTACTGGACTTAATTCTTTATTTAAAAAGTAATCCTAACTCTTTTCTGGAAAGTGGGGCCTCAAAGAGTATCCAGAAAGAATGAGCTTTGCAGAATATTTTTCTTTTATAGACAATATTCAACTACCAAAAAGCATAACTACATTCATTCATCTTGTTGTGGAATGATGAGACCAAAGCAACATTCCTAGGTCATCAGAGACAGCTTTATTGCGCAAGGTTCAGAGCCAGTTTTTGTACATGGAAGCTTTGAACAAAGAGAGAATTCTGATACAGCGGTTTTATACATTTCTAAGACAAAGGATTCAGTGAGATCATACATTTTCCATATAAGGTTAATCATGAGATCATACATCCGATTTTCCCTATATGGTTACATACATTGGATAATAAATTCATCTAATTACTTAAAGCATTAATCTTAGTTTATAAAATTATCTTAGCCACACAACTTTTCTTAAGTGCTCGGAGTTGCTAATAGGAGAGTTACTACTGTCCTTGGGTAAATTTATTGGATTAAGTAACTCTTTGTAACATATAGGTCTTTGTGTCATTCACAGTGAGGTCACTCAGATGTTTTTCCCTATGGCAGTCCTTTCCATGACATCTAGGTCTCAGAAGATATATTACCACTTAATGAGGTTTAACTGTTTGTTAATGTAATTTCCACCAAGCACTTTCCTCTCTTATAATAATGTGAATAGAGAGGATCTCTCAGAGTTCATGTATCCAAGCACGTCTTCCCTTATAATAATGTGAATAGAGAGGGTCCCCCAGAGCCCATATATCTGACTCTGTATGATTCCTATTTTATTCACATTATTTCTTTTATCTACATTATTCTTTATTTGCTATATTTACCTCATTTCCCCCCTGCAAGTTTTTCCATGCATAAACTTCCATCACTTCCTACACAACACTCTATGTCCCTTAATACACAAAGCCAACATATAATATCCCCCAACATATGACTAATCTAGGCAAGAGATAGGTATTTCTTGATCTTCACCCTATTAATCCTTGGAGGTACTCCCTCCATTCTTTTCCCAGACCCTATTTCGACATATGTGTCTGTTTCAGAAACTTTTTTTTCCCCAAGAAAGCGCTCTGTCAAAACTAATTCCTTCGCAGTCTGTATCTCTTTCAGTGCTCGGATAGATAGCTGTTTCAGCACAGGGATTGCACAAGGAATAAAAGCTAGGCCTGCCACAGCCATATCAACAAGAATAACATTTGTTTAATCCAGCCGGATCCAGGCAACCAAGAAAACCACCTGTCAGTTGTTTGTAACCTCTGACTTATCTTGGATGCCCTATCCTGCCATTCCTTGGCAACTTCCCTGACCACACCTGATCCACCCATATAGAAACAACAGTCTTCACATACCTCCTCTCTCTGCGGCCAGGAGGTCTAAGGCACGTTGATTTTGTAGGACCACTGCTGCCAATGAATCTATCTGGTCTTGGACTTCCACCAGGGTTCCAGCAATTTGGTTCAGGCTTTCTTGGAGTTCCTCTGATAATTGCTGAAATTGTATTACTGAGTGTGTCACTCTACCTACACCTGTTGCACTGCAGTTCCTATCCCCATGATTACTAATAGTGGGACTAGGATTGGTACCCATTTCTGAACATGCCCCATGAGAGGAACAGGGATGGTATGTTCTCCACTGACAACATCTATTTTAGGAAAAAGGTGTACTAGTGTGCATGTTCCGGTCCAATTTGTTGGCAAACATGAATACACATCCTTCCCTCAGAAGAAGAAAACTCCTTTTTCCCTTACACATACCCCTATGTTCATGGAGAAAGCATGGGTCCGATGGTTCTTTTCATTAATCCAGACCCTCAAAGTCCCCGCCACAAACATTCCAGCAAGCGGCTGTAATGGGACTTCTAGTGAAGGGTCCTTTTGCTTATCTCTGAGGATTGGACCTTCAAAAAGATATCGGGAGGTAGTATCCCAGGGGGAAAGAAGACACATAAACCTGTGTTGGACCTAATGGAGAGCCAGATAGTGAAGCGAGGGGGCTGGAACAGACTAGTGCACCTTTCCTTGGATACCTTCCAGGACCTCTTCCATCCTCCCCATCTTGTGATGATGGCAGTTGGTGGTGATGAGAAAGTGAGTGATGTGCAGAAGGAAAAAGATCTTTGGTTAGTTTTACATCCCTAAGGTTCATTCTAGGACCAAGGTAAAATTCTGATGGACATTGTTCTTTTGTCAGGGATCCTATAGGCCTACCAGGTTTCTGATGTCTCTTTACACACAGGGAAGGTGACCCTATGATTTAACAAGGTTTCGACCCAATTCCAGTATCCCTGATATGCAATCTCCTCTTTTCAATTGTTGTAGGGGCCTGTTCTCCTTTTCTATTCCCCCCTGTACTGGGATTGTTAAACTCTTAACCTTAGGTCTAGGAGTTGGTTTAGGAATAAGGTACCCACCCACTCCACCTTCTGATGCCACGTTGTTGGCAGGAGTGGACTTGACCAAAGTGTCCCCATTCAGTGTCCTGATGCTGCTAGGTCCCCTGGGATTCTTGACATCTTCAAATCCTTCCGCAGAGACAAGGGGGATTTCTTGGACACTGATGCAACATTGGGAACTACTGTTCAAGATAGTATCACTCACTAGACCTTTCGGCTAATAGTACCCAAAGCCATAAATAAATCATAGTGACCTAATTCCCACACCCACAAGGCGTTAAGAGCGCAAGACCCGTAGTTTACAAATTCATCATGTCAGGAAGAGGGTTAGGGATATGTGTAACTTGGGGGTAGGGCAATATCAATTGTATTAAAACAATACCAACAGAAGGGCTAAAGTAGCTGTTGCCCAGAGTCCCCACACCCAATTTTCCTCAACCATGAGTGTTTTTAATAATTGCTTACTGGATACTATCACTGTTAATGGATTTTACATTACAAACTACAGTCATGGAATGTTGTCTTCCTCCGTTCCAAGCTTCGGCCGTGTGCTGGGAACCAGCTTCCGGGGTGATTCAGCAAGGCTGACGATCACCACCATGCATTGAGAGTCCGTTGCCGGTAGGACTCAGCAGGGTGTATTCTTCTTGAACTTCCGCACCAATGGCCTGTCAGTTTTTATTACCTGGTATGTGACCGGATCAC